AATTTCCTTGGATGTGCTCCTTATCCCAAAACGAGGAAGCTTGATGTTCAGGGCATCAAAAAGGTCATTTATGATGCGGGTAAACGCGGCTGTCCCCTCGCAGTCTTCCAGGCCATCTTGCTTGAGTCTCCGGTACACATCAAGGCCGATAGCCGTACTTCGGCTGAGCAGCTAGGGGACAGAAAACGTATAGGGGCATTTTATTAATCGCAAAAAGACTTAAGGAGAACACTTCACAGTACCAGTTAAGTTTGTGTTTCACATGTGAAGAATTTGCCTAAATAATCAGGTAAGCTATAAGTTCTTTCAAAAGCAGCTTTTCGTAATCTTACCTGTACTGCGAGCTTCACACTCATTTTTCTCATGTTGTCAGGGCAGACGTGTTCAGCGGTAAGCTTCGGAACAATGCGGAGTTGCTCTTTGCCGTCTACTTCTTGCAAAACTCGGTAGTGGTCATAGTTTATGCGATGTTCACCAATCTATGAGCAAGAAGAAGAGAGGGAAAAAAAAGTCCGTCAGTCGTATGTAGTGCTGCGAAGAAAATGTATTTTGATTGGCACCGCGACACTATTTATTGCGATATTGTACTGTACGTGGTACTTACCATGCCATATTTGTGTCGAAGAAGATGGTTTCTAATGCATTTGACAATGTGGGGTACATCGCAAAGGAAGTAGAGGCTTTGATTTGGCTCGCATGGGTGCTGAACTTTGTGGTTTGCTGTGTGAAGCTTTCCTGATATGCCAAAGTTGGACCACATTGCTTTGTTCGTGCTGGCGCCATCACTGATTACTGCGACGACTATGGCGTTGTGTTTGCGTAGCTGCACGATTGCATCAAGAACTATTTTGGCGAGCACGTGTCCGGGGGCTGCGTTTTTTGTTGCAAAACTTGCAATCGGTTGAACCCATGAGTGGAATAGAGGCACAAACATTGCAACCAATGCATGATCAGCAGTAGCTGCTGAAACTTCACCGTCTCCGTAATTTACGAACCCATCAATCTTGTATGTTTGACGGTTGAAAGCTACGGCTTGGCGTACCTTCATTTCATCTATTACTAGTGTGCCGTAACACTGGACTCCTTTCATAGTCTTCATGAAAGCCCCTATGCTGGAAAGGGAGAGCTTATTAAAGCCAAACTCACAAGGCATTCCTCTTATTATTTGTCGGAGCCTAGTCGAAGTTGGAAGAGGGAGGATTTTCATTCTTGACATCAAGCGGTACACACGTGGGCTTGAAATCTTCAAGAGAAGGCAACTCAGCAGCCACCCACAGTCATACCGCACACCTCTTGAAGATTTCGCTTTCATCGACTGCAGTGCTGTCCGAAATGCAAGTTGCTGCAGTGGTGGAAGTTCAGCTAAAACCTCGCTCAACAGTGCATTGCTTGGATCTGATGACAACTTTTTTTTCAAGCTTAGCAGGTCCCTCTTGTATTTCTCCCGCAGCACTGTTGCTCTTATAGTCTTCTTTCTTAAATTTCTCAACAGCGCAGATGGCAAAGGCACGTACTTGCTCTTTCTTGAACGTCGTTTCTGCCTGCACTGCAAGTTCTTTTTTGCTTTCCTGCACTGAACGCATAAGGCTTTCGCCGACAGCACTGCACATCGCTTGCTTCTCCATGTTCTCCCAGACCTTTCAGCCGTCTTAGAAGTTGATATTAAAGGACATAAACGAGAATCAAAACCATTGCAGATACCCAGGCTCTCAATGAGATGAAGAAAGGGCGCTGCGTCTTTCAAGGTGGTAAAATTGAGCTTGTCACTGTTAATAAAGGTGTAAGACGATTCCGGCACAAGTTTCCCTTTAGCGCTGACAACAACGGTCGAGTTTTTGTTTATAACGACAGCTCTTTCAATAAAAACTACGCCACCAATTTCTTGAAGTTTGTAAAAACCAACACGCTCATCCGTGTGTTGCACACACCATGCTCCATACACGGGCAAGTCTTCTATGCCACCAAACCAATGTTCACCTGTGGAGCTTTCTTTCATGATGACTTCCATGCTTTCAGCATTTGAGGCAGCCCTGTTTTCGTGTTCAAGCATTTCAGTGCACGTCTCACTTTCACTCTGAAGAACTGGGGTAATGTCATCTTCGGCCACTAGCACGCTTGCTGCATTTGTGCCAACATTTTCTACACAAAGCTTCAAATCAAGCTCAGCGCAATTAGCAAAATGCCGCGGTACCGCACCTTTCTTCAGTTCCCAGCGTCCTCGCGGAATCGAGACTGTTTCGCCATTCACAACATGCTGGAAGGAGGTGCAAATGTCCGCTTCATCAAAGTGACGATCACATATGTATGATCTTTGAGTAACTTCGAAGTTTGCACGGCCTGCCGCATTGTTCCACTCCCTCAGCACATTGGGGTCTTTCGGTGGCTTGAAAAAGTGTCGCTGCACGAAGGGCACTTCATTTGACGTTGCCGATGAATATCCACTTCGACAGCCTGGCACAGCACACCTCGGCATGCCGACCGTTCTCCCGAAGGGAGCAAAATTCAACCGCGAACAATTGCTTGCTCAGAGTCACCGTCCGCTTCTCTCCAGAAAGCAGAACAGCGTAAACATTATCGTCTGCTCTGTCATGGTTGAAATTTAATGCATAAGGTCTGTTACGAAACAACGAGCCAGCCTTTTTTTTATATTTAGGTTACTTAACGATGAGTACTCACCATTATTACCAGCAGGGAAAAAATCGTCTGCAAGCGCAGGCCCTGCTAGCCGCGTCGCTGCTCCGTCTGCTCCGCGCGATGCCGGCTGCGCGGCGGAGAGGTCACGTGACGTGGTCGCAAAGCGATGCCAGCGACACCTGGAATGGGCGACGATTTGCGGCCGCCTCCTCGCGCGAGTTTTCCAACTGTCCTCATCCAGTAACGTTGGCTCAGACTCAACCAACTGGAAGAAAACAAGAAGTGTGTAACTGAGATTACGTGGCCTCTTCCGACACGAAGACAAAAAATAAGCACATACCAATTAAGCTATATCGCTCTGTTCTTCATTTTAACAAATTACCAAATAGGAAAGAAACGCGCAAGTTGACGCACTGGCAAACGTTTGTGAAACGACCGCTGCGAAGCTCTGCATCGACGTAACTGAAATTTAAATAGGAAATCAGGATTGCAAGAGTGAATGAATTTGTTAACCGGTAAACAGATACAGAAAGACGCAAGAAAACTCACGAGAAACGACAGAGAAACGCACATCAAAACGCCAAGTCCTTGTACGCGAACACACGTGAGAGCGCGCACGCATCAACAAATGCGCGGCTACAGCGACTGTGGCTTGTCGCGGCTTGTTTTGGCTTGGGGATGTCTCAACAGGGTTGCGATCATGACCTACTACACTCCTGACCTGTTCAGATAGCGGGGTTCCTATGGGAGCGCGTGTCCCCGCTCTCGTTCAATCGCTCGCCGTAGGTGGCGCTACCTATAACCTGTTCGTCTGCTTCTTTACGGTTGTTTTGTAGGCGCTGGTATAAGAATGCCTGCTTTCTGTGGTGAACTGTCGGCATATATGTGACTATTTCTTCCCATACATTGCTGGTCAAGTAAGCTGTTCAGTGCGCTTAAGAATTTATAGCACACTGGTTGACAAACGTGGAAACCCGTGGATTTACATGATTTTGGACAGCCTATGCGTTGTCGCGTGCATTTTATTGCAAAAAAAATTCTGAATGTCTTTTAGTATTATTATTTCTGGATATTTCTAAATTGTGGATCATAAATTCGCACTACGAGTGCTTTGTTGGTTAAAATTTGACTACAAAGAGTGAAGGTGACGTCAGCGAACAGGTGCTGCCTAGCGCCACGCCGCTCGTAGGTGACGGCCCTAGCGGCAGAAGGTATGAACTAGAACGTGGGCGCTGGAAGAGGTGCTCTCTGGGCAGGTCAGGAGTGTAGTAGGTCATGGTTGCGATCACGACCTTCTTGTGGCCATGACCTACTACACTCCTGACCTGCCCAGAGAGCACCTCTTCCAGCGCCCACGTTCTAGTTCATACCTTCTGCCGCTAGGGCCGTCACCTACGAGCGGCGTGGCGCTAGGCAGCACCTGTTCGCTGACGTCACCTTCACTCTTTGTAGTCAAATTTTAACCAACAAAGCACTCGTAGTGCGAATTTATGATCCACAATTTAGAAATATCCAGAAATAATAATACTAAAAGACATTCAGAATTTTTTTTGCAATAAAATGCACGCGACAACGCATAGGCTGTCCAAAATCATGTAAATCCACGGGTTTCCACGTTTGTCAACCAGTGTGCTATAAATTCTTAAGCGCACTGAACAGCTTACTTGACCAGCAATGTATGGGAAGAAATAGTCACATATATGCCGACAGTTCACCACAGAAAGCAGGCATTCTTATACCAGCGCCTACAAAACAACCGTAAAGAAGCAGACGAACAGGTTATAGGTAGCGCCACCTACGGCGAGCGATTGAACGAGAGCGGGGACACGCGCTCCCATAGGAACCCCCGCTATCTGAACAGGTCAGGAGTGTAGTAGGTCATGCTTGTGGCATTGTGGTGTTCATCAATGCTTTCATTTTTCCTAGTAAAGTAGAAGTTACTCAAGATCGACAAGTGTATTCAGAGGTGTCCCACGAGACCTAAACAGGGGATGTTTGGGCTGAAGGGTTTTAGTGAGATAGATCGCAAATCGTAATCTATGAAGTAAAAACAGTAAAAACGGGTTGGCATTCTGTCGGTTCTGCAGACTGCACTCTATGGACAGTGCGCCCTTACCGGCGCGGTAACTGCTGATTAATCGCGGTGCCAGCTCGGAAAGATACGCATTAGACATTCGCTCGCGCGAACTTTTTATCGGAGAACACTCTTTTATCTAACAACTGATTGAGACTGAAAGGCCACGCCTTCACGGAATTCGAGAACACACATGTGTATCGCTATCTTCATCTGACAGGCACGCTTTCTTGGCTGTACGCACACGCGTGCTCTTTCTTGATTGGTGTGATTAGAAGCGGCCGGGTTTGAAAACGTCTGCGCAACGCCAGAGACGCCCTAGGTGTCCGGATAGTCGTCGCATTCCGATAAGAGACACCCGTTCCGCACAAACGTACGGAGGGTCCAGAACGCCATCCGACGGAAAATGATTATTGCCGCGCTTTCATTACCGCTCCTTTTGGTATGTGCGGCCATCGCACTTTTTGCTGTGTGGTTGAAACGCGCCGACGGCGACTTGACACTGCTATTCTGTGAAAAGTTCGGGAGTTTCTCCAGGTAAGAAAAATGTTCCCACATCTTTATGACCACGGGCGAGAGCTAACGGCGGTTAGATCGAAGCGAATGTCGCTTTTAATAAAAAGGTGCAATCTGAAGCAGTTTTGCAGTTGGGATTGAATAAAACTGACATAACTGTCATCACCCCGTGCTCACCATGCACACAACCCACACCCTTTGCAGAACGTCCCAAAGATGTCCCAACTATTCTATAACTCCCATGGTTCCAATGCTGCGACCAATAATTTAGCACCCGTAGTGCCTGTACCACATTGGCTGACAACTCTTCGGCGCGTAGTTCAAAGCACTACTGCGTTCGCAATCTTCTGACGTCGCAAGAACTGAGATGTTATCACTATACTAACGTTGTTGGTGGTTTTCTGATAGCATAATTAATGGCTGTTCGTGCCGTTGCAATGCTCCACGCGCGCTGTTCACACATGCCCGGTTGCAGGTGCGGCTGTGCAACCACACCCCAAGACCAGTGGCATAGAAAGAAATGTTTTTCCGGGAGAGGGGGGTCGGGGAGGGCAAATTTTTGCAGTGGTCATTTTTCTCACTGCATGCCATGGCGAAAAAAAAATTTCGGGGGGAAGGGGCACGGGCCCGGTGTGGCTACCCCTGGCTATGCCACTGCCCAAGGGTCTCCGCAAAAAACGTGTATTCAGGGCCGCCCACGCATGAAAAGGAAGTTTTCCGAATATTCAAGATGGACTGAAGCACCTATAATCATACACATTGTCAAATCTTGAATAGCAATTTACTGCTAACATATTCATAATCAACAAAGTTATCGGTGTAGTCAGTCCAGATATCAAGAGATAAAAGATAAACTTTGGCACAAGTATATGGTCACACCACCACCTTGTTTTTCTTTCCTAAATTTATTTATATGTTCGTAACCTGTGACTTGCATGACGTCTTCCTCTGAGCGGAGCCATGTCTCGGAAAAAAAAAAGAAATAAAAAGTGAAGTTCATCTTGCTTGCTAGCTTGTAACCTATGTTGTGGCTCGTACCCACTACGGGTTATTGGCTATTAAACTGGCCATTAATGTATCTCAAGTTTTGATGAAAAATAATTACTCAGTCATCTAGGGAATCTAAAATTGGCCAATCATAAGGCTACCTATGAATAAAGTAGGTAAAGAACTATTAATTGAAATTAATAAACAAGTCAAAGTTCCTCTGTTTCATTTCAGCCTCGGCTTCCTCTGCATTGTGTCTTAAGCTAAATTTGCACATTTAAGTGATCAAAGGACAGGCTATTTTTCATACTGTATCCAGGTGTTTTTAGCTATTCTCGGAATGAATCAGCAGAAACAAAGGCCACATTTCACTAACTTAATTTCAAAAAGACAGTCTGTTTTATACAATCTTGTCTAAGTTGCTTTCATTGTTGATGTAGATGGCCTGAGCAGTTGGCTCTTTTAGGGCAAATATCTTGTCTTCCCTGGTCCAGACAAATCGGTAGCGCGTTTCCACAGCCATTGCCTTTGCGTGCCACAACAGCCTCTTATATTGCACAGTTAAGCTGTCAAGAATCTTAACATTCCCTGATGCATTGCTGCAGAGTATGGCAATCCACGGCGCTTTTGTGGACTGTTTACAAAACCTGACGAGCACCACTGAAGTTTTGTCTGACCTTGAGGGAATGTGATGCAGCCCATCTACATTACTCCTTGTAAGATCCCACATATCAAGTTTTATAGCCAGCTGATTCACTTTTTTATCAGATCTTCGCGTTCGGTTTCAGCCAAACCATGAATTTTCATGTCTTATGTTCTGCTGTATTGATTTAGAGCATTAAGCTCTCTGTGCAACTCTGCAGTTGTTTTCTTGTCAACTGCTGCCGCTTCGACTGCAACCCCTTTCTCTTGTAAGGCATTTTTTAATTTGTATTTCTCACTTTCTGCTTGTTTATCCTATAACAAAGACTATTTAAGTGCATTGCTGTAAACTCTTCAAAGTGCGCCTTTGGGGAAGCACGAGCTAGTCAAGCTGCCTCTCAGCTTTTCCTCCCACCCTTTATCATTTTGATAAAAAATAAAAGACTTATTATTAGTGTTAATCTCAATACTCCAAGATTTTAGATGAAATGATATCTGAATACGAAAACATGTGAACACACTAAGCGTATTTTATCTGAAGGTTTGAACATGCAAACACAGATATATGGACAAAACACCTATGTTTGTTTAAACTACAACATTAAAGCCTGGTGTAATAGATGCAAGCTTACTTTACAAGGTTGCTGCCGCTAATGAGGATGCGTTCCTTTTGATTGACGATTGGCAGCTCTGAAAATGCTCTTCGAACGTTGGAAACACTTTTTTAAAATAGGAGCTTACTGGATAAATTCATATCGTCAAAGCTTTTACCAGCAAGTGTATATCGGATTTATCTGAAAACATAGAGTCCTAGCTATAAATACCTTTCTCATATTGTGACAAATAAAAGGTAATGCTGACTCAAAATTATTTCACAACTCACAATGGCGAAAATGAAAGTATGTATCTTAACCCTAAATTGTCACGTTTAAATCCGTGAGCCCCATACATCCCGTGATCAAGAAATATTGTCTCAAGGGTCGGAGCATTGCAGATCACAAGCTTGCTGACTTTAGTTCTTGGCCTCCCTTCAGTGGTGATGCCAAAATGCAAGGATATTCCTTTTTGTGCAGGTATGAAAGCCAAAACACCATTAAAATCAAGTACACATTACAGTATCTCACTGCGTGCAGGTTGCTTTAGATGATGATTTCGGTGGTTTCAGTGGATCATATCAGTTTTGGAACGTTAGCCCTTCCCTCCCCCCCCAAATAATGATGATTTCGGGTGTTTCGGGAGAAGGTTGGTGTTTTATTGAAAGTACAGAAAAAGCAACTTGCGACGAGAAGCGGTTGCATTTGCTGAAATTTTTCCGACATTGATTCTTCAGTTACTGATCTGACCTGTTTTCTGCATTTAAATTCTCTCTACTGCTCACCCAGCTTCCCTGCAAGGCAAGGTGATATGGATTACAGGTGCATCCAGTGGCATTGGGGAGTGGCTTTCATACAAGCTGGCTAAAGTGGGTGCCAAGCTCGTTATTTCTGGCACAAATCGGCAAAGGCTGCAAGCGGTTCATGACAGATGTTTGGGTGAGCATTACATTATACACGATAACTATCCTGCAGATGCAAACAGCAATCACTGGCTATAATTTAGCGTAATACAATTTGGGGTAAAGTCTTAGTTATTCACACGATGTGTAGCACTCATACCTTGATATAACGAACCCTGATATAACGAAATATTGATTCTAATAAAATTAATGAAAAATAGTCTTGCCATAATTATAGTGTTAGAAATACACCTTTATAGCAGATCTTTGGATATAATGAATTTATTTTTGTGTTAGATGCAACTTTTTTATGATGAGGTTTGAGTGTACAGCAGAGGAAAATCGTATGTATCCTTTACTATCTTTCAAGCAGCACAGGAAGTTTAGTGCATGACAGATAAAATGATGAGAAAGATATATGTTCTGCATTTGACATTTTCTTGTTGCTGATTTAAGACAAAATGTTAATGGCTTTGTGCCATCGAGCTATATGATCCCTGCCTTAATGCGGGACATTGCACATGCCTATTTCTGTAATACAAGGCATGACAGGTCGAGTTTTTGAGCCTTGTAAAAGCATGTGGATTTAAAGTTATGCTGCTTTACATAGAATAAGCCACTGTGTGGCCTGCAATCATCTTTATATGAAATTTACTGGCCAAATTTTGCGGCATAGTAAAAATGTAGGCTTGGCCGAATAGTGAATTTTAGTTTCGAAGTGAATTTGAAGCGAATAGTGATTTTGGTCAAATAAGTTTTAATCTAATTTTAATACTGTATACATCATGTATTATGAAGAAAGGGGTGCATATTTTTCATGAGAAAACTAACCTGCACAATATTTTTTTAATTCATACAAGACCTGTGAGAATGCCTTTTTTTCATCAAAGGAAGAGGAAACAACTTAATTTCAGTAGCAGCAAGATTTCACTTTCCATAGAATGTAAATGATAGTCTATAAAATATATTACATTTTAAAAATTGCTATACCTAGAGTATAAAAGTCGATATAACAAGCTTTTCAACTGAAAAAAAAAAATTGATGTGAGGGTGATATATTCATATAACCTTGGAATGGGGCTTCGCGGCAGTGCGAATTTCTTCTGATTGTGTTTTCACGGTTCAGCATCACTTCACAGCAGTGAAGCCACTTTTACAAAAAGTTGCATGTGAATTAATGTGCTTGAGTAAATGTTTTCACTGTTTATTATTTCTACACTGCAGTGAAACCACCTTTACAGGGTGTCAAATTAAAATGCATTTATTAGTTTGTCTTGAATATTTTGAAATTTTCAATCATTTAAATTCGATTCGAAGCAAATTCAAATACTGCATTATTCATTCAAATATTCGAAGCATTCCAATATTCGCCCATAAAAATGTCATCATTGTGCTGTGTGTGTTTTGAAATGCAATTAAGTTCCAGCTATTAAATGTGCATGGCAAGGCCCTCCAGTAATCTAGAAACATGCAATTTGGTTCCTCCCATCAAATGTACATTGTAGGGCTCTACAATGATAATGAATATTGTGGGCCAGCGCAAAAGTTTCTTGCAGTGCCGTAGTGGTCATGTGTGCTGCTCCTAAGATTTGAATGCTCTAGCTGACAAAAGGCATCAATAGCCTAGAACTAGTGTCGAATAGACCCTTTTCACTATTGTAAAGCTAGATTTCCTGCTATGCAGTATGAACAATTAATGGTGACTTGCCCCTTACGGCAAACAGCCTGTTCAAGCGCGGAGCGCTTATGCTATGACGTGAATGTAGAGTCGGCTTTCTTGATATAAACATGCACAGTAGACAAGCTGCAGCAAGTTCAACAAGGACCGCATCTCCATTTGAAGCGCGACTGGTGCCGCCATTACTAGGGCAAATATTCAATGCAGAGAAGCGCACTTGTGAATTATGAAAAGGGTACATTGAACACGAGTGTAAAAGCAGTTCTAAAAAATTGTATGATTGGCAACTGCTGTTAAAGTTTTCATGGGTCATTCTGTGACACATGACAGACAGCACTTGGTTTACATGAGCATGATGTGGTGCTAACGTCTTATTCTTTACTTATGATTGGTTTTCAGAACTTAACAGTCACTGTGAAGTACTGGTCTTGCCATTCAATTTGGCTGACATTTCGTGTCATGCTGATCAATTCAAGAAGGTCTTGGACTGTTATGGAGCTGTAAGCTTTCGAAAATCTTTCTTTCTCTCTTTCGTATAGGGTGCAGTATGAGTAATTGAAACTCGTGAATTATTTGAAGAATGTTAAAAGGTCAAAGGCATAGAGCTTTCAAGTAAGGCATTTTTTATCTATACACCCTAGAGGAAAAATTGCTGTTTCCTGCAGTTTATCATTTTTTTTTATAGAACACTTAGAGCATGTGCGCTGTCTCGCAATGTTCGACACGCAGAGTGCTTGGAGTAACTGCATCACTGTGCTACTTCATGGCATAGCACTGAACTTACTTCCCTGAAATTTTATGCTATTAAATGTGCTGATAGCTTTGACCTATAGTAATGATGTACCAATAGGTCATTTTAAAATGGATAATAATGCCACTGATATCCATTTCATGCTCTAATGTGCCAATAAAATCTGATAATAAATGTTCTGATTCAATGCTTGGGCAATCAAGGTACAGAAATACACAGCTGAGACAATTGTCTCCCTCTATTTTTTTTTTTTTCACTTTGTCTTTGTGTTCCTGCATTGCCAGTATTATGTATAACTGCAGGTAGACGTATTGGTCAACAATGCCGGAATATGCACTTTGAAACACTTCGAAGAGTGCACAATCGAAGAGGACAAGGCTATGTTTGAGGTCAACGTGTTTGGACATGTGTCGCTCACCCGACTCGTTCTTGTCAACGCAACGGAGGCGGGAAGAAAGGTGCACATTGTGGCCACAAGCAGCATCAGTGGAACACAAGGTATGGCTATTCTACAGGAGTTGTACACTATAACCTGGTCTGAAAACATAAGCTAGTTGTGAGCTAGATACGCTCAAACCACATTACAACAAAGTTGCATTTTATACATAAATAAGTTGATTAAACAAAAAATTTGTTATAAAGGTCTATTATGACCACAAATCTATTGAAATACTAGTTTTCAATTACTTCATTATAACCTATATTTCGTTATATCCGGGTTCATCATATTCCACGTATTGATGATGCCATAGACTGTCTGCATTCGGCCTCTTACTTTTCCTCTGTAGACTTAAGATCGGGCTACTGACAAATTCCCATGCATCCTGAAGATAAAGAAAAGACAGCCTTTGTAACCCCTGACGGCCTTTTTGAATTCAACGTGATGCCATTTGGACTGTGCGACGTGCCGGTGTCACACCTGTCCCGTTACTTAGGGAGGCGATCGCCGGGCTAATTCTAAGAGCCGAAGTATCGGCCCTCCGAACCGCACCACGAAAGCGTGGACAATTTAGGAGTGGTCCTTATTGGCGCGCCAGCAGACGCCGGCTGTGGCCCAAAGAACAAGTCAGATCCGAGAGTTGATAAACAAACAAAATTATATTCTCAATAATGGCAGATCAGAAAAACAATACACCAATATGTTCACTCCACAATAGTTGCATACAATATGTCACCAATCAAACCAATCAATCAACGTACTACACAATACAATCAGCCACACTTGAAACAACGGACACGGACAACAATACGCACTACAATGCAGTCGCATGCATTGAACAACCAAGACACTTAAGACTAAAGAGACAGAAAACCTATTCACCAAAGTTCTTGGAACCAAAGTCGAGATGATACTCTTCCGAGAATCACTCACTCAAAGTCCAGCGTTGTTGTCGTTCCGCAGCCCTCGAAGTTTCTCTTCCAGGAAACCTCCCGTCTTCAATTGGCCACTCTTCAAACTTCAACTTCTTCGCCGGAACACGTCGGCTTCACACTCGCAGCGGTTGCCACGGGTCTTCGCTCGATAGCGGTAAACACATGCTCTTGCCTGTAGCCCGAGCCTTCACCTCTCAGGTGGAAATCCTCTTCATCTCCGGCTTCGTCCCTACGGACCAAAACCTTCGCCGACTACACGGCGGTATCCCTACGCGCTCTGGCGCTCACTTCCGTCTCCTCCTGCTTTCTCGTCTCGGCTGCTCGATTAAATACCTTCCGCGGCACTTTCCAGAAAGTTCTCCTCATTTCGTCGGCGCGATGCGCAGCGAAGGCTGGGGAGAGGCGCGAGACGGTTCGACTGCCCTCCGCGTCGGATGAGTCAACTCGGCGTGGCCACGCCTCCTTCGTTCTAGAAACATCGCGGGCTATCCTGGCCGCCGATGTGGGGTGAGGAGGTTCGTCGATGAAGCCACGCTTCTGCGGGGAGAGCGCGCGCCCGGGGAGCCTTGGCCGTTTGTTTTCTTTTTCTTTCCTTTTTTTTCTTTTGACCTCGCGGCGTCTCTTTCGCGCGTTATCGCAAGAATTTGGCGTCGTGCCCTTTTTTTAGCGCTCGTTCTGTGACAGCCGGCGACGTTCGAGCGATTTATGGACACTGTTCTTCGTGGCTTGAAGTAGAGCATTTGCATGTGCTATCTCGACGACGACGTCATGTTTGTCAGCACCTTCAGCGAATACAATTCACGTCTGTATACTGTACTGACTTGCATAAGAAACGCTGGCCTTGTTCTTAACTCAAATAAATGCCACTTCGGGGACCGACAAACCCTTGTTCTCGGACACCTAGTCGATGAGGAGGGCATCCGTCCAGATCCCCAGAAGACAGCAGCCGTTGAAACGTTCAATGTGCCGTGCTCTGTAAAGGAGCTCCGCAGTTTTTTGGGGCTTTGGTCCTATTTTCGCCGCTTTATACCTAAATTTGCCGATGTCGCGTATCCGCTGACATGTTTGCTACGGAAGAATATTCCCTTTGAGTGGACTCCGGAGTGCAACTCCTCTTTTCGTCAACTGAAGTTCCTCCTGACGTCGCGGCCTGTTCTTCAACACTTCAACCCATCAGCTCCAACCGAACTGCACACAGATGCCAGCGGCATAGGAATTGGTGCCGTCCTAGTTCAATGCTGTGGTAACCGCGAGCACGTGATTGCATACGCAAGGCGCTCCTTGAGTAGGCCCGAGCAGAATTACACTGTCACAGAACAAGAATGCCTCGCGGTAGTATTTGCGATTCAGCGGTTTCAGTCTTACCTAAATGGACGCCCTTTTACAGTCGTCACCGACCACCACTCATTGTGTTGGCTCGTCAACCTTCGGGATCCTTGCGGCCATCTAGCGCACTGGGCACTTCGGCTCCAAGAGTATAACTTCATAGTCTCGTACAAATGTGGTCGACGACACGCCGACGCAGATTGCCCTGCGCGCATGCCACTGAGCACTACAGAGTGTGACGCCGATGACCTCGATCACCTCGTAGCTTCTGTGTCACCAAAGTTTCCCGACCTCAGTACTTTCAAAGATGAACAGCGAAAGGACACCAGGCTATCATCGCTTTGCACAGCTCCTACGGCATGCCATTTCTGTGTACGCAACGGACTCCTATATAAAAAGAACTTTTCCAGCACTGGCGCACGTTTCCTCCTGGTAGTGCCAGAAAGCCTTCGGACAGCGATTTTAGGTGCTATGCACGACGATCCTACGTCCGGACATTTAGGTTCTGCGCGGACGCTTTACCGTGCTAAGGAACGCTTTTATTGGCCAGGAATGCGACAGTCAGTCGAGGCGTATGTGGCCAGCTGCACACAGTGTCAACACCACAAACGCCCATCTACTGCTCCGGCTGGTCTTCTACAGCCCTTTCCACCTCCAAGCACACCTTTCCAACAAGTGGGCATTGACCTCGTGGGCCCTTTTCCAAAGTCGGCTAAGGGCAATCGCTTGATAATTGTATGTGTCGATTACCTCACGCGCTACTGCGAGACGGCGGCCATACCGACCGCAACTGCCAGCGACGTCTCTGTTCCTGCTGCAGCACGTTATCCTCCGACATGGCCCACCTCACGTGATCATCAGTGATCGTGGGTGACAATTTACGGCAGATATAGTAGAAGAGCTGCTTCGATTGAGTGAGTCCTGCCTTCGTCACTCGTCGCCATACCATCCGCAAACAAATGGGCTCACGGAGCGCACCAACCGAACAATTGTAAACGTGCTCTCTATGTATGTGGCATCCGACCACAAGAACTGGGACGACGTGCTACCATTTATAACGTCAGTTCAACACCGCTAAGAACGAGACAACAGGCTATAGTCCCTTTTTCTTGATGTACGCACGACCGCCACGGAACACAGTTGACACAGTTTTGCCATTCTCGGCGCACGAGAACCTCTCAGTCACCGAAATCCTCTGCCTTGCAAAAGAGGCGTGTTGTATTGCTCGTCTACGCACTTTGGCATCACAGGAAAAATCGAAGGTACGCTATGACGTCCGCCACCGCCCTGTAACTTACCATCCAGGCGACTTAGTGTGGCTGTGGACTCCGGTACGAAGACGCGGGTTATGCCAAAAGTTCTTGGCCACATACGACGGACCGTTTGTTGTTCTCGACAAAATCACGGAAGTCACATACACAATAGCTCGCCTCACGAGAAGTGGTAGAAGAGCCGCTGAAACCCAAGCAGTCCATGTCGCTCGATTGATGTTGTACACACCAAGGTGAATCGGTTACCTCGCCCGGCGGGCTTCGTCTGCGAGGGGAGGAATGTTACGCATGCCTGGGAAGAAAACGAAGATGGCTGAACATGTTGGCTGCCCCAAGCTGGAGGAAGAAAGAAGAGGACGACACTGCGATCATCAACCTGTTGGCCGCTCCGGCGCTTCTCTTCGCGACCAAAATAAACGGCCCCCTTCAGCTGTATACGTCCTGGTCCTCCTTGTGCGTAACAATATCGAGCTTTGTGCATCGAGCATTATTGAACTGCATGCAGCCAAGAGTTTACAATTTCGAGTTAAAAACGAACCAGTACTATTTGCTCTCTTGTTTGCAAAACTATGCAAAAGATAGTTTAATACAATAACTCCTAGAGGGGAATCTGGCCGAGCCGCCGTGGTCTAGTGGCTAAGGTACTCGGCTGCTGACTCGCAGGTCGCGGGATTGAATCCCGGCTGCGGCAGTTGCATTATCGATGGAGGCGAAAATGTTGTAAGCCGTTGTGCTCAGATTTGGGTGCACGTTAAGGAACCCCAGGTAGTCGAAATTTCTGGAGCCCTCAACAATGGCGTCTCTCATAATCGTATGGTGATTTTGGGACATTAGACCCCACATATCTATTAATAAGAGGGGAACCTGGCGCTAGTGTGTACGCGTGCTCTTTCAGCAGCACTTTTACTCCCATGGGAATTATGGGGAAGTACAGGCTTCAAATTTGCTTCGAATCTGCTTTGAACAAATCACGTTCTTGAAACTCGCAACGCTTGTTTGCCAAGTGTGAAACAAAGCGATAAAAAGTTATATCTAATTGAAGTTTGCTTCATTCTTTTGTACGTAAATCTTATTGCAGAAGGTTCTTGTGACTATGAGGTAGAAGTAGAACTCGGAGAAATTTAACCACCAGGTTATGCATTACCCTGCCATTGTGTTCCAAATGTGGCATCAAAATATAATAATAAATTATTTTTTATAACACTTGGAAACACATTCTTGTTTTTCCCCAAAAAGTACGCATTATCTATTTATGAGAATAACAGTACAGTATTAAGTGAGAAACACTTTACGTTTCGTATGTGCGATGCTGGGTGCGTAGGTACGCAAATTGTGCTACCAACGCACCTCTTGTTTTATTGCGAAGTCAAGTCAGAGGAGCGTGACGGTGCATCTACTTAGTTTCGCTGTCATTCTGCTGTCGATGTAAATGAGTTTTGGCAAAAAGCGATTATAAAACATGTGAACTAGATGCAATATTCTGCACTGGCATAAGAAGCTACATCTATGCGCATTGGTTAGTGGACGACGCATCACTTGAACTCTCAAATACAACTTGTAAAGCTTCAATGCTGCCGCAAATCAAGTGACCTAGTGGTCTTCAGCCTCGTTTAACAACACAGGTGCTGCTTCAGTGCTTTGCACCGCGCCCCACTACTCACGCTGCGCGAAGAACGAAACTGAAACTGTAGAAAAAGTTCTTTAGACAGTTCGATAGCTAATGCAATCCAATTCAAAGTTTGCACTTCCCATAATTCCTACAGGGGCACACGATCGCAGTGCCAGATTTTTCTCCAAGTATTATTGTATGAAACGCTATGATGCAAAAAGACCGAGTGCTGGCGGACAATATTGGATCTCGGAGGCGACGCCTTGTATTGCGTAGGTACCATGGCTTCTCACGTGCTGCATCCATGTGTGTTTGAATTAGAAGTAGCGGCCAACATGGTCAAGGAAAAAAAGTAAAAAGAATTCTTATGACGTACGACGAGAAAGTGCAGTATAGCAACTAAAAGGACAGAAAGTGTAGCACAGCTTGTTTTATAGCTCCAGTTATACTTGATGCATTCTTTCTTTTCTGTGGCATGAGATTTACAAGGCAAGAATACAATATTAAAGCCCATTTTCCAATGACTTTGAGGGAGGTGGAATAGCACCTAAAGAATGAATCGTTTTTCTGCGTTGCTACGCCCTTACACCTGATCACGCACTGCAGTTCATTTAGTATATTAAAGTGATGTTCTGGCTCAACAGATCTTCACAAGTAGACAAAGGCTTGAAGTGATCAACCGTGCTTGGATAAGACCGAAAGTTGCAACAGCCAACTTTTTGACAATGGAAATTTTACAGACAAGTGCACTGATGGCAAGTCTTCTTATATAAGCATTGCCTTCAGTGTCATTTATAGCTAAATAAGCTAATAATGCAGCAATATTTTAGCCAACTTTGATTTCATTAATATAACAATAATACAAGTTTTATAATATAACAACTGCAACAATTTACCATGTTCAAAATACTTGAAGCAGTGGTCTTATTTAACTATAGTGAAGTATAAGAGAGCACACAACAAAACTTGAAACTATTTGCCATGAGCAAATGCATAAAACCTTAAATTTATCCCCACTTTTTTTTTTTTTCAGGCAGTTGTGTGGCTCCAGTGTATGCTGCAACCAAGCATGCGATTCAGGTGAATTCATAATTGCTTTACATTATGTCATTGTATACACAGTGTATCATCGTCCACCTAAACCCCTTCTTTACATGTCTTGGTTTAATTCAGCGCAACAGTTATTGTGCATGACCAACTCTAGTGATTGTGGTACATTGCTGGAAATTTCGGTGTAGCTCCGAAAAGTTATAACATGCGGAAGAGTAATTCTTCTCACTTGTGTTAAGCTTTTCTAGGTAGTTCAAATCTGCTCGTGTATTTGAAAATGATATGGCCACTAAATGACAGCGTAATGAAATGTGTGCATATCTTTCCAGGGTTACTTCGAGAGTGTCATGGTGCAAGGGCAGGTGACCGGTATGATCGATGTGACAATTGTGTGCCCAGGACCAGTGCTGACATCACTAATGGATAACGCCCAGGGCTCGATATCGGTAAAGTGTTGGGTGCATTGAGAGAGTTGATAAATGTTCGTTATCTAAGGGCCTAAACAAATTTGAGTAAAGATGACTGCTTGTAAGTGTTAAAATTTAAGGTAAGGAACATGCGTACAATGCGCGATTGGCCAGAAACATACTTTGTTGCATGGCCTCCAGTTTTACAGTCGCACATCTTTTTACCGTGCTGAGTGCACAACACCCTAAAGCAGTATATTTACATAAGAGGATGACATCATAAGCTGTTGCACTACTGCCCCTACTCACAAGAACTTTGCCTGTGGTACAGTAACGGAAGAATGTCCATAAATGTCGGCAGATGGCTTTAACACTAAGGCCTATGCCATCAAAAGCCATTAGTCAGTGGGCATGCTGTGGCGAGTGAGATGATTCTCTTCATTACTGAGCTTCAACATGTCGGCAACAGCTAATGCCACTAAAGAAAACAATCGCCTATGATGTCAATAATTTATCACCCAGCTATTGTGAAGGCTGCAGTGAATTTAATGCTACTAGCAGGCATGGTGTGATCCTTTTGTTAGACATTTGTTTATTTAAATATGATAAAAAAAATCTAGTCGTCAAATATTCTTGTCACCTTTGCGTTCAAAAGTGGATGTTTTGTAGCACCTGCGCAGCAAAACATCAACATTATCCTAGATCACTTGCAATATGTTACATCCCCTGCTGGTGCTTATTACAACCCTTCAATGCCATAAAGGCATGAACAGCTTCGTGTGATGTGCACTCCACTCTGTGAAACAAGGAAAAAGTTAAAGATCATTGGAATAGAAATGAAAGTGGAAGTGAAGAAGCTTCTTAATCTATGTGGGTATTAAAATGTTCCCGATTCCTAATGTGAAGCGAAGCCGTTCCTCTATTCGATCCTAACTTTTGGGGCCTTTGAATCTAGTCATAAAATAGCCATAATTTCCTTGATGCAAGCACAAGGTGGTACCGAGTCAAGTCGCACTAGATCGACACATGTGTCCACTAATATCGATGCAATTTCTTCGCAGGATGAACCAGCACAGAAGGTAGCTGGCGTGTTACTTCCAGACCGTTGTGCCGAGCTGATGTCTGTGGCAATCGCAAACAAACTTAATACTGTCTGGATCTGTGAAAACCCTGTCCTGGTGCTCTTCTACTGGAACCAGTACGTACCCGGCATCTATCAAAGGTAAAGCTTTTTTCTTATGAATATTTGGAAGGATTTTATTATTTTAATATAAGATTTGGGTGATAGCCAGCTACAAGAAGGGGTTCCATAATCTTCAGTTATAATAGGAATTACTAAGCAACCTGCAGGAAGTAACAAATAAGTGTGTACTCTATTAAGAGTTCACTAAGCAGATGCTTCTTTTCAAGGCACACTGATGTTATAATATTGCACAGCTAGTGGTGATGATTGGACTGGTCTAACATTTTCTGGCTTTGCACAATAGACATGCTCTGAAATAGGACAGTGTACTTAGAGAACTATTGCATAATGCATCATTCTCTGGGCAAAGGACAGTGGAACAAGATGAAATCCACAGGACGAGCACTGATCGTTAATTGACAGCTTTGGTCAGTAGTACAAAATTACGAGCTCTACAAGAAAACAGTCGTACAGCGTGCACAAAAAATAATCGGCAAGAACAAAAGATAGTTCTGTTCAAGTACACAAGCGTGCGAGGCAATCAAGGGCTGCATGACACATGCTACTGTCACTTCATCAATATGATCTGTTCCATTGTGGTGTGCTTTATTTATTTGTTTTATTTATTTAATTACAATACCTAAAAGGCCCCAATGAAGGGATTTTACATGTAGGCTATGGAGACGTACCTACAAGTTACACTTTTTGCTCTACCACACTCCATACGATGGTTGGAATACTGAGAGCCAGCCATCCAGCATAAAGGCGAATGGACAAATTACGAACATTGAGAGGACATGTTAAGTAAATGAATGACCTTATTGAGTTCATCACTGAGGTGAGAAGATGTTAACCATGCTGCATAAGTATGTCAATGTTCCCATGTACAGTGGACTCTTAGTAAAAGGAAATCTGTTAAATAGGAACTACTGTTTAAATAGAACAACTGCCTCTGAGTTTCAGTCGCTGCATACTGCACCCTAGTTCACCTCTCACTAAATGGAACTTTTTTTAAACGGAACAAATTTTCTCGGTCCCTTCAGGTTTCACTTGTTGAGAGTCCACTGTATTTAGCATAGTTAATGCTGTGGCTATAACAGTCTACTCACTTTCCAGTTGTGGCAGTTGAATTTCAATGTTTAAAGGTGTCCTGTTTGTGTTATTTACTGCTTTGTTGTGCTTTGAAACGAGTGTTGTCGACAATATGCTTGTGTATATATATTAAGGAAATCGCATATGTGATAACCAAAACATAAGAGCTTTTTTGGAGTGGCTGGCAGCCTCAACTTCTGTTTCAGTACAGGTAGTATTTTAATTAACGGTTCATGCAAATGTTGCTAGAAAAAGGCTGGCCAAATGGGAAAGATGCAAACGCATCTTTGTCATGTGTCTCCATTTTGTTGTGACCATGGTATTCTTAACAACCTAACCTCGTGCAGATATATTGACCTCACATGATTGACATGCAATGTACAACTTCACAGTAATCCCAGCAAAGGTACTACAGATATAGAAAAGATTCAGCCCAATATTTGTTCAATAATAACCTACAAATTGTCAATTTGGCCCACCTGTCTACGCTTAGCTCGCTCGTTGCTAGTAAGTGGTGCAATATGGCACAAATTGATGTAACCTTAAGCATTATCCAGACTTCTGTAAGTCTCAGCACTGTACATTCACTGAGACGGTTCAGTTACGTAATCTCTCGTAAGGTGTAGTGTGTCTAGCGCTGGCTTCGCTCCGTGCCAGTTATCTAATATTAAACACAATGTACTGAAATTACATAAGGTGAAAGCCGATCGAATATACAGTGTTTGTCCGTCCATGTTTTCTCAATGCCGCTTTTACTTCTTCCAAGTAATAACTTTTTTCCCCAAAACAATTTCTGAATGGAATCGTCTGCCTGCTGACACGATCAGCATACTGGATAATGAAGCTTTTGCGGCCACTCTTGACATCTTGTTCTATCTTCGGCTACATTTGAATTTTATGCAATGTTTAGTTCTTATCACATAGTGTTTGCATGTTTATACAGTAAAGTTTTGTTTCTTATCTCTCTTTGTCAACGTTAGCTGATCTTTTCGTCCGCTGATGTACATTGACAATATATTGATACAGGGCTTCATTGAAGTGGGGTAGAAGAAAAAGAAGTGACTGTGTTCTGTGCCAGGCCTGCCTTCTGCAACCATCCATCATCCCACCTGTACAATAAACATTTCTCACCGTAACATAATTGGTGGAGGTGCTGGGTAATACCTTGGAGCACTGGACAAGTACGGTGCAAGACACATCCCTGGAGCTTCGCCAGAGCTGCAGACTTGCAGTACTTCTGCCGCTACCAGTCATCATGAACCCTGACAGAGAAATCCAACTAGCTACGTTCTAACACCTATGGACACCATTACAGGGGATCCACGCCTGTTCTCTGGGAAACCTGGAGAGGACAGTCAACGAATGGCTCAAAGCGCTATCAGCGGGTGAGTCTGTATAACCACTGGGACACTACCGGCCAGCGCAACTACGTACCACTTCTTCTTGAGGAAACCGCGTTGATGTGGTACGAGAACCATGAGGAGAATTTGAACATGGGCGAACTTCGTAGACGAAATCAAAAAGTGTTTTGGAGATCTGACCACTGATAAAGAAGCGGGTTGAGCAGACCTTGAGCCAACATGCTAAAGTCCCTGGGAAGACATGTACAATGTATATTGAAGAAGTTCTCAAGCTTTGCTAGAGTGAACTTCCTAATGACTGATGAGGATAAGATCGGGCATCTCCTTAAGGGCATTGCGGAGAATTTATATCACTACCTTATAAGGACAGGATGACTTGCAGTCGGCCAACTGACATCATCCGACATTGCCGAACATTTGAGGCCCTTAAAGCTCGGTGCATTTTGGCAAAGTTTGGTAGACTCCCCAACGTCACAACGGTCGGAAGCATCTACGTGGTCCCTCCACCCAGCGATCTGGCAGTCAACAATATGACTAATAGTGCGCGAAAAACTTGATCGGTGGGGCGCTGCTGTGCCGTCGATAGCCTATGGCCACGGATCTTATACGCCATGCAGCCCCCCCCCCCCCCCCCCCGCACCTGCAGTCTATCAATGCTGTGGGCTTTGTCAACTCAAGGACAGCGGTACAGTAGCGTTGTCATACCTATATATCTGATCCGCCTATATGTCTGTACAATAAACATCTCTCACCGTAACAATACGCTATTTCTCCTTAGTAATAATGGTTGTACTTTTGTTTCTTATTTTCGTTCTCTTCTTGAAATGAATGGTGCATAAATTCTCTGTGTGCCTTCCCTCCACTATAATGCCTGAACGGCACTGTAAGTATGAGAGTAAATTAATCTAAGGTCGTACGAATTTGCTACCACGAAGGCAAATTCACACTGTATTGGTGAAAATATGCTGCTATACTGCCAAAATTCATGCATGTCTGTGTATATGAATTTCAACCACCAGTAACAATGCATTCCTCTCGTTTTGCAGATACATTGTTTCGCGGCTACCTTGGAACAAGGCTGGTGTGCACAAGAAAAAAAAGTAAACGGCGTTGTTAATGTTTAATGGATCTCAATTCTTTGCTTGGTACAGCATCTCTCATTGTCCAAGCTAATTAAAGAAGCTGTCCCCCAGGAACAAGTTTGGCCACACTTTTTGATGTTTGTTGATGACCTATCTACTACTGCTGTTAAAGGGGCTCTGCAGCAACGATTTTACAAGGACAGTAGACTATCGGTACATTGAAATATGTGAATATATGAAATTTGTTATGATTGATTTCGTACTTGCATTCTGCACCCCCGTCCATCTTTTCATAAGTGGAACTCTTGTTACATTGGAATACATATTCCTGGTCTTCTGAAGTTCTATTTGAACAAGTCTACTGTAATCATCAGATGACATCGCTATTCGAGTTCAATGCCTCTCAAATCGATTTATCTAAAACAAATACAAAGCCGTCAAGTGCAAGCATAGTGGCACAGATTTCTTGTGCACATTAAAGAATTTTTCCCTTCTATAGTTATGACGAGCACACTCAAACCTACACATGGTCAGATAAAGAAGTGGTGACAAGCTATGTTGGAACACGTGGCGACTTTGACCACTTGTTTTTTTTTTTAACACATTGGTGCGGTCACAAGTACACTAGCATAACTACTGTAGCAGTGATAGAAGCGACTTTTTACTTTTTGGAGCATACTTTGGAGCAGCCATTCGAGTTTTCAGAGCAGAAAAAAATGCAAGTTTACAGCAGCCACCAGTGAGCAGATATTAAATTCGCCGTGCATTAATTGAAGTTCAGAGCATTGTCGAAGCATCTCGTAAATATTTTTATTATGAAATGTATTTACCAGACAACAATCAAAGTAAATTTCATGATGCAAACAAGGGAAGGTTGTCAAAAATGTGCTGTGAAATGAGCTACAATTTGAAATATTAGTATTTGGGGCAGAACTCGGATTAAACTGGAAAAGCAAAGTGCCACATTTTAGAAGTAACCACAGCCCCATATAAATGTTGCCAAACGAGCAGTAGATAATAGGTATGAGATAAAAGCAACCCAGCATTTCAGCCACACTAGCCTGCATGTTCAGCTGAGAAAAAAAAGAGAAAAATCAGCCATATGGCCTATATGGTTAATATGACAGTTCTGTCGCACAAATGGGATCAGAGCTAATAATACTGCACACTAGTAGTGCAATTAAGAGTAAAAGTTCGTCACTCTCATTCTCTCAGTGTCATTTTGGAGCAGCTTTGGAGCAATTACTAAGAAAAATTGCTGTTTGAAGCAGCATGGAGCAACATTTCTCTTTTGGAGCAGTTTGGAGCAATTGGAGCAGCACTTCCATCACTGCTGAAGGCACACTGCAATAATCCGCACTAGTCGTGGTAACTATGCAAAACGTTCTATTGAGCCCATGGCCATCCTTTACTCCTTCGACATAGTTGGTCCCTCCAATAATGCAATTTGTTGAGAGAAGAGCGAGCAAATTCTGGCTGTTCCTGAAAGATAATTGTAAGTTCTTTGCCGTGTGCCATGCTATGATATTTGGCTTGGATGTTTCCAGGAGCCTTGACCATTTTCATAACCATTTTCAAGTGCTGCACGGCTCTTTTAAGACCAAGCGTGCACGGTGACAACATGAGCATCTTTACATGCTGTAAATCAGTTTCAACGCTCTGCTTTAATCTCAATGCCAACTAAAACAATACCTGCGGTATTCCATGCCAAACGAAATTCAATAGGCGTTCTCCATCAACTGACGCTCGTATAGACGATTACATTATACGAGACTTCAGATTAAGCACGGTTTCTCAGTATCATCTTAGATCAGGGGTCTCAAATGTGCCTAAGCCAGATGGTCAGTCACGATATATAGTCCCCCAAGGACAAAAACAGAGAATACCGTTAAAGCAGAGTTGGAAGGTGGGAGGTTGAGCATATTTTCACTAAATTTGCCATTTCAAAGAATGCCTTTTCTATATATTGTATATGAGCCATTATGAAGAGGATTTCACGTTACCTTCCAAGCAATTAGCATATCAATAATGATCTCCACAACTACCAAAATTAAATGCCCATTCTGAAGTGTAGAGCTTTCTTGACTTTTCATCTCATATCAACTGCATAGCGTGCCTCACTGAAAGAAAAAAAAGAAACTCTCGACTAGTCCCGTCTCTGTAGCTTACCCAAACAAAGCATTATTAATCGCAATTGATGTGAGAAAAATAACAGTATTATTTAGCAAAGCCACAAAACTTAATTCCGTGTGAAGCTGTAGGCTACTAGTGAAAGGTATGTGCTTCATATGTTTGAGACTCCCGTCTTTGAAACATCATTATTGAAACATCAAAGTAAATAGGTGGTAACATGGAACGTTAATTATGCATCAGGCAATAAGGTGCACAAAAACAAACTAGGAAAGCACACATATTTGCAAGCAGTAATAAATTTTTATCACCTTCGTCGATCAGGAATCTTGCTTCCGCTGCAACAATGGGAACAGCCATCCACAAGAGCCGGTTTTGGCAGGGTTTGCGAAGGAATTTTCGGCGAAGTGGTCTGTGTAGAGGCGGTAGATGTATCCTTTGCTCCCGTGAAAGTCCCTCGAGGTCTGCCCTTTTGCTGTAATTCCGCCATACATCACACGTAGAAAATGAAATAAATAACAGTATGGATATCGGTAAACAACATATAAAAGTGATCCGAATATAGAGAATGCTAAAAAGGGGCGAAAACAATGTTTGACAGGTTCAAAAGCGAAGCGCAGCTCGACCTTAGCTCAGGTAACTAACTTCTCGTAACACTGAATGCAAGCAGTCACTGCTACATAAATAAATTATGTGGGTTCTTCCTTCAACAGTGAAATGTGGCTATGTCACTACAGCCAATTGGTCGTTGGAATGCTTTAAAACCGACCAGTTCACCGAAGAAGCATATTCGGCAAACATGCCTTGCAAGATTTCGTCTTGAAAAAAACAAAATATTACGAGCTACCGCTAACAAAACCGATAATAAAGCGAAATTTTTGTCTGCCTGCCAGCTGGCATCAATCGGCTCACGAGAAACTGTCCACAAGTACCTTTACATGCCTAAAACATTACTGACAACTGGGCAGCCCCCCCTCCTCCTCCTCTCCTCCTCCAAGAAAGGAGGTTCACTGTAAAGCAATGACAGAAGAGAAAGAGATAGAGAAAGGCTTCATGATGGGCAGGGAGGTTAACCAGAAAATAATTTCTGGTTAGTTACCCTGCACCGGGGAAGTGGATAGAATGATAGGGAGAGAAAAAGAAAAGAGAAATGGTAAAAGAAAAAAAATCGCACACACACTCAAGCCAATCCATTATGGTGGGTATGCGTCACAGTCACAATTTAAAAATAAATTAGGTGATGACACTGCACCCGGCGGTGCGTCCAGACTGTGTCTGCCGCATGGACTGTTTCGGTTTTATGAGACAGATGGTGCTTGCGGACGGTGGGTTAAGGCGCTCGCTGAGGAGCAACTCGATCCATGTGTAGAAGGTTACTGCTGCGGAGCTTGCAGGTTTATAACGCTCAATATAAACCAGTGCGACTGTTTTTATTAAGCGAGGCTGCATTATGAACATTCATTGACATCGATGTCAAATTAATACACTGTGACTCTGCTGTAAGGAAAGTGATTTCCTCATTCTATATGCAGTTCATTTCCTAACAGTGTTTTTTTTTAATATAAATTCACCAACATCAGCAAACGTTGCCTTGCGGAGAGCAGTTGCATTTCGACGCGACAGCACTAAAGAGCTTGTTTCACTGAAATTGTGGTGTCGGCGTCCTTGGTTTAGAACAAAAAGGCAGCGTCGTGTGTGAAAGAAAATTTGAGGTGTTTGCAATAAGGATAGCAGCCCCTAGGCAAAGGCAGGCTAGCTATTAGGAAGGTGATAGTCTGTGTGCGTGTGTGTGTACGTGCATATATCACTGTCCTGTTCTGGTTGCTCAGCAAAATGAACGAATAACTTCACCAGAAAACTTTCAACTAATGTATCACAAAACTTGCACGCATTCTATTAAGAACTTAAATTCACACGCTGCCCTTGGCAGTCTTGCTGTTAGCATCATGCAGATTTTGGCCTCTGGCAGCGTAAGCAGCATTGTATAAGTGGGAAAACTTGATTGGGTCTCAAAAGTGGACCCTCGGTTAACTTGTACTGCACCCATGTTGAGACTGTCAGGCCAGTGCCATCAGTCATATTTTGCACTATTTTATTAGGCCGCGCGGACTTCAACTTGACAAAGCGCTTGTGAGACAGTGAGAGCGAGCGCACTACCTAAAGCAGTATATTTTATGCAGCTCGATCCTCAAGCCACCGACGCAGGATGCCGACAATCATATTTAGCGTTTGATGAGACATATAAGCTAGGATATCGAAGGCGTTCGCCTTAATAATTAAACCGTGTTGAGTCGTAAGTACCATAGTCCGAAGTGCGCCTGCAATGTTGCACGATGCTGACAATGAAGTGCTATAGACATAAAAAAAGGGAAAATCTGGCTTGATGACATTAAGCACGGCAAACTATAATCGCGATGTACAATGATTTCTGTTCACTGGTCTACAACATAATTTTTTTCTTGGTCCAAAATAGATGAGCCAGCTGAAAAATGTGGCATCTGAATTTAATAAAACAAGAAATTACTTTTCTGGCACGATGAAGAACTGAGTCGGTAACACATAGGCCAACTCTATAGTGTCGTGTTGAGAAGCATCCTTGTTATTACGTGGAGGAGGCACGTCTCTGTTGAAATCAAAGTGCTACCATTTGCATGCGTGCCTGCTGATTGATCATCACCATGCTGTGGAAAAACTGTCTCTACACGCAATAAATTTTGCGTTCTTTCAGCGGTCGTGTCAGGCACTTCAGATGTCGCTGAATCTCGCGGTCCCCGTCGCTTCCAGATGTCGGCAGTAGAGCCAGCCGTTCTTGTTGAGCATTACTGTTTTTTTTTTTTTTTTGCTGCACGTTCAGGTATTTTGGACAGCCCCGGTAAAATGGCAGGCTCAGCATCCAAAGTGAGCGTAGGTTTCTTTAGTGCATGCAACAGGTCGTTTCCCTTGTATTCTGCATTATATGTGCCAGAGATCGCTTGTCCAGGAAATGCCTCGCGCACAAATGGTCGGTAGGTTGCAAGGCTCAGCTTTTGGAATTGCCCGTTGCCACATATCCAAGCACTCGGTTTCACGCGGAGCCTTGAAAAGCGACACACGCTCCGAACAAATCCGATACCCCGAATTGCAATTTGGGACAAAACACTACTTGCCCATTTCGAGGCGCATTGAGCGAATCCCTGTAACTGTTACTCTATGGCGCCCCATACAGTAGCGCAAAAGTCATCGGCGAACACAATAGGACAATAGTTACTCAACGCGCCACAGACCACCCGGGCCCTCTCCTTGCGCGGAGCACCTAACCTATTCTTAAACCGCCGCCACAGTTAAAAGGTGAATAAGAACACTCAAGCACCGGAGTATGCTTACCTGTCGACGTCCCGTGAGAAGCGGAAAACTCTCGCTGCGCTGCTTCTTCCCGAGTTGTTGCACCACAAAGCATCGCAGCTCGCCTTGTGTTTTTTTCCTACCACTATCAACATTCTGAGAGCGTTCGAACTCGCAAAAACCTAAAATTTTACCTTGAAGGCATTCTCAAAAATTTCACACGTCTTTAAACTTTTTAAAAACTTGCGCAGAAACGCAATGATGGCGATGACGATAAACAAAAAAAAAACGGCAACAAAGTCAGAGGCAAAAGAACGACTAAAATCATTCTGACATTATTAATGACTTTGGTCGCTTTAGTTAAACCAGTTTATTTTTTCAGTAACTGTGCGTCAAGGGATTACCATCCACTTACTACTACTGCCACCACTACGGAAACCACCACTTCCTCCATGACGGAAACATTGCGTAAAACTTTCCCCAACTCATTCCCTACATATTTATTAGCCGGACAAACTAGGGATCGAGAACCGCAGCAGGCCGAGGAAGTGGCCTGTGATCTCTGGCGAATGTGTTCCAAGTTTGGCTAAGGAATCTACGCGGTCCGCTTTGCTCGTTCGATGCGCTGAAAAGATAAACAGGAAGTTCGACCTGTGGCGTCCGATACCCTAGCGATGATGTCTTCACTCGTGGCCGACTACGGTTCTTCGGCCTCCGAGTCTGAAGAAAATGCTGAAAGTAGCGAAAGGTATCGTGCTCAGCGCTGATCTCTGGGTTCCTTGCCGTTGTACAATGGGGTGCTGTTTTGTGCCTTGCGAAGAGCTCGTACAGCCTCAGTGTATGTACGTACAGTTCAGCGTTTCGCGTTCTTTGGGCCGCTTTTTACAGTTCTGACGAGAATGGTGATGCGAACCAGGTTAAGAAGCAGCCCGACAAGAACGACCGGCCGAAGCTACCAGGGCCGTCCTTCCAGTCCACCAATCTGGGTTCATCATCGGTCTTCAGTAATCCTTTCCGTGAAGAGGAGGACGCGCAGTCGTCGATCCTGGAAAGGCACGTCAAAATGACGACACCTGTGAGCCAGCAGACTTCTGTCAATGGAAAGCAGATTTGCTGGAACTACAGGTTTGTTGGTTATGTGGTGCACTCTTTCGGACTCGAGGACAGTAGTTGAGCTGTGGACATCATAAACTACTTTTTCAGCGCCTTAATGATGCCGCCCAAAAGCTGCATGGCTTTAGATGATAATGTGCTTCTATTCAAGTAGAGTAGAAAATTTGAACAGTTTAATTTGCTTAATATGACCAAGAGGTCTGTTTTATAATTTTGTACAACAGTATTGACATATGGTGATAGATATATATTTTGTGGTTGACAATTTACCCAGAGCTTTTTTTTTTTTTTTAAGATGTGAGTGTGCAGGCTTTGAACTAAAATTTGTAGCTGTTCGTAAATACTAAATATAAAAAGTATTAATCCTTGAAACAAAAAAAGTGGGAAACTGGTATTAATGTTGTCTTAGAAGTTTTCACTCCAGTTTGCTTGCTGCGATGCTTGATTATTAAGTGTACTCAGTGGATTTGAATATCTGATCAGGTTTGATTATTTATTAAGAAAGTCAGTTACTGAGGGCACGTCGTGATAACCTTTAAAATTGTCCAGAACAACTTTGCCAGAACACAATATGAAATCAACGAGGCCATGTCGATGTACCATCACGTAACCGCTGTCATGGTGCAGAATTAAAGAACGAAAATTTTTGCCTTTGTTTTCACTGCTAGTAACACTTTTTGTTTTCTGTCAATTGATAAGACCAACTTTGAAAGAAAATAGATGTCTCCTGTACGTATTGGTTACAGTTCTCAAGCAGTATGGAAGGATGGACGGAATCACACCTGTCTACAATGGCGGGGCGTGTGGCTGTGGACGCTGTTGTTGTCTGCAGCTACTACCTCATGTTAGCTGCAGGCTTTAATTATAGACGTCTGACTGGAGTTTTGCCGACAGGCAGCGCCACTTGTCGACGCAGTTTTGAGTAGTGCAAAGCCCGAGTACCTTGCACAGTTTGCAGCGCAACCAGGTGCAACTACAACGTAAAAAAGAGCGATTGTGGTAAATATTAGGTGTATTTGAGCATTGAACTTTTCAAAAAAAAGCTACGAGCTTTTATCCACTAGTCAGGCGGGTCACCAAACCGCCGTGAAGGGCTTGCTGGTTCACTCGCCAGAAAGACGGCGAAAACAGCAGCAGATGCAACAGCTCTGCGCTCTACGAAAAAAGAGCCTAGCCGACGCTACAGTTGTGATGTGAATTGCTACGGACGTTAAGGACTTCATTTTACTGTTTTTCGCAGCTTCCACGAAGCAGAACGGGGAGAGCACTAGACATGGGCAGTTGTGTTGGGTAAGCAAACACTCGCGTTGTCTATAGCCGTTCGCGTGAGAAAGTGTGATAACGTAGGTCTCCTGTTATTGTTTTGAGTAGCTTTGATATCAAGGGGAACCGTAGTAACTTTGATTATGAAGCTTAACAGCGCTTCAGAGCGCACTGCGCACCATGCAGCAGTAGACAGGTGACGTTAAACATCGCACACACCGCGACTGCCGGGAACCTGAAGCTCCACAGCATTACGCCTGAAGGTTTTCAAAGCTCTAAGTTCCGGCTTTAGCTATGAAATGGGAACAAGCACATCATACAGGTATAAATCGCAAAATGATCGGGACCACAATAGTTTTTTTTTTTTTTTTTTTTTTTGCCGTTGGTTTTTGTGATTGCTGGAGCTATCTCGGAGGCCTCGGTTTTACATTTGTTGTACACCGAGAAGGTGGACACGCATGCATCCCCGTTTGCAGTACATACAAATGGACTGACAGTTAGCCATCAACAGAACATTCCAGCATGCGTGATAAAGCAGTTCAACGCACAGAAAGCGAGAGATCAGAAGGAGAATGCAACTGCTGCAACGACGAAAATCACCAGGGCTATTTGTGCCGAATAAAGTGAACTTCATACCACTGATCGCAAGATAGATTGCTCGTTTATGCACTTCATCGCTTTGGCATCATGTGTATGCATTTAAGCATTTCAGAACGAACGTCGAAGTGCTTGCCTGTAACTCGATGTCATGCGATGCTAGCTTGCTCTTATGTGCCGGTTGCAGTACGCCAAATTAACTGAAACATCTTTCACATCGTAGCCACAGTTTGTTTTGATGAGCTTCCTACTTTTCTGAAGCGAGTTTGGATTGAAGTAAGAAGCTTGCCAGGTCCTTGATTTTCAGGAAACCGCGCCTCAAGGCGAATGAAAGAGGAGGGCCTATGCACGTTTACTTGAAGATTGCTTACTTTGTACTACCCATTTATGGCTGGCGCGTCGATGGGGGCGCTGATGGTGGCGTTTTTCACAGCGTCACCTGTGCAGAGTCTGGCGTCTATACTAAAGGAACTAGCATGCGGTAGGACTACGTTGGGTGTCAATACGATGGCAGTTTTTGCATATTTCTGCAGAAAGCAACAGCTGTAGCGGCCAGCTGGGTGCTCTAGACAAGTCTGATTCCGTCCATACCTGCCATCTTCAGTGGCATCATTACTTTTTCCGAAACTCCAGATTGACTTCTTGTATGCTGGATGTGGGCATGAGCTTCTGTTATTATTTTTGAAAAAATCAGTGACACTAGTCTACACTGTATGCCTGCTTTATTCAGTTTCCACGAGTTTAGGCCAATTTTGTAATGTATTAGTGCTGAAGTAATGATATCAAAGCTGATTGTTATATAAGCTTATGATTAGCCAGAACAGCACATGCATCTTACATTCAGCAGCATGTTGCCTCAAAGGTTTTTCTGTGTGGTTACAGATGGCACATAATCAACACAAGTTTGTGAGTCACCTGTGTGTTGTGTTACATCCAAAACACATCAATAGTGGAATTATTTGTTTATCTGTCTCGGTAACAACAACATTGACTTTAGTAAGCCTTTCGTGATGCATTTACTCTCATAACAAACAAGCTCTCTCTGCATTTTGTGCCGAGGTTGTACTACATCTATGAAACTAGCTTCTTAGTATATTCTTGCTGCCGAATGTAACTAGTGATGTTTCATTCCAGAAAGGGGCGATGTCGCTTTGGCCACAACTGCAAGTACGTCCACGATAGCGATGTTGTGGGCCTATCGGGCTCCATGCAAGACCCCGAGCCTGCCGAGCCAGAAGTCGTGGCGACATCAGCCGCTGCACCCTGCCAGGTTGGAAGTGAAGCGACTTCTCAGAAGCACAAGAAAAAGAGACCGGGCTTGTCAGACAGTGTGACTCCTTCAAAAAAGGCCATGAAATTTTACCACAAAACTCAAGGCAAATCATAGTCAGCTGCACACGACCCCTTCTCAAAGAGCAAAGGGAAACCAAAAGATGTGTTTTAATCATGCAAAGTTAGCTTTCGCAAAACAGTTATGCGAGAGGCATATTTTTGTATATAATGCCATACACATGTGCATATTTGCTTGCAGAGCTGCAAGTGCACATTTTTTTCTACTGCCAGATAACTATAGGGAGAATTTTAGCTTAGTGTTATTGTTTTTTGTGTTGCACATGCTGTAAAATAAAGATCATTTTGCCACACTAGTGATGAGGTGACTGAATTCATTGCATCAGGAATGTTAAAGGCACTTGTAACATGATTCTTCGGGTCAGGTGAAAATCGAGTTGCTTTCATCTTGTCAGCGTTGTCATAACACTTGTAACGTGTCCTGTACGGCAAGCTGCAATTGTAGAGAGCAGTGTGGCAGCTTGGGCTAGTTGGTATGTCATGAGGATAGTTATAGCGCAAGAACAAAACGGTGACACAGAGACAAGAAGGACACGAAAGACACGAGCGCTTTCGTGTCCTGCTTTCGTGTCTTTCGTGTCCTTCTTGTCTCTGTGTCGTCGTTTTGTTCTTACGCTGTAACTATCGTCATTGTAGAGAGCAGCTTGAAAGACATACTAACTGAAGCAAGACTATTTTTGTGATGTAATAAAGATAGGTGCACTGAAAAAACAGTCTGAAAAAAAAAAAAAAACTTAATGCCAAGCAGTGAGCCTTCACGTAGAACTGCGTCTGCAATATGTTCTGCTCTATACTTGATGCCTTTTGGCTTTCAATGCCTGCACAATTGGAAACAGCCTTCAGTGCTGGTGTGTTCCTTTAAAGCAGTGTTGCAGCTAGCATATAAACTAAACATACATATCTGGTTGCTCAAACCACCGAGCTACATCTATGCAGTACCGCTCCCATTGTTGTAAGTGGCATTTTGCTGGCAGAGAAAGTTGCTAACTGCTATTTATGAGCAAAGTTAGTACAAGATGCTGACAGGCTTGCTCATGCCCCCAGTATATAATGTAAGCACAATCCTGTTAACATTATGGTAATTACACTTGTAATACACCTCTGTTACAGCCGCATCATTCGTCAACCTTTCACTAACTTATATGCATAAAATATGTGCCCACCCTCTGTGTGACATCTATTTCATTTGTATTATTATAAAGTGATAAAATTCCCTAGAATAAACTTGGCAGCCAACTGCATGCACTGCAAGAGTTCTTATGCTTGGTCTGTGTGCATCATCAGTCTTGACCAAGGATGCTTAAAAAAAAATTCTCAAATGGACGCATTCACTATGACTTGACAGCAGATGTGAAGCCAGCATTTGCCTGGAGTCTACCTCAAAACATGGCTTTCTCGCTTGATACCGAATGCTAGATAAAGTGCTTTTGTTCTGCTATATTTAATGCTAGCCTAAATATAGGATAAGAGATAGCTGCTCCTGATAAAAGAGATAAATATAGATTAGCACAGGTAGCTTGCTCTCTACTAATATTTGCCAGGACTTCGATGCTTCTTAAGAAAACCAGTAACACTAAAACACATGTTGAGCAGTATCTATCCGAGGTAATGCAAGCTGGATGCTGTCATTTTGCTCTTTGCAAACGTCTTGGCGTGCCTGGAGTGAGATGATGTTTGTCTGGCTTCACTTTCCAAACATAATTACCACTCCAGCAGTTTTAAATGCAAAGCATTTCTTAGCGAACTTTGGCGACCTTGAGCGTATCTATCTATCTAGCCGCCTACGACTTTTAGCTCTCCTGGCCGTTCGTTTAGATAATGGCATCGATACCAAACTTGGTATGGCATTACATGACTGTATGAAGAACATTTTTGACTAGTCATAACATGAAAATCATGACATGTCATGAATGTCATGATTTACATTTCACGGTCCTGCAGCTCTTGCGGTGGTTTCGTTCACATGGCATTTTGCAAAACTAGTATGGTATGGCATGATTGCATGGCAAACACAAGCGACAGACCCTAACATGAAAAATGCCACACTCATGATAACATAACATGCCACACTCATGATGCGCTCCCGGCGGTTTCGCTAGCTTCACTTATACTAAATTTGGTATTACGGGACGTGAATGGATGACGAAGGTATGATACTGGTGCAAACATGATAAACATGAGATGCGTGTCATGTAACAACATGACTACATGCTATGCTCACGATGCGCTTGCGGCCGTTTCGCTAGCTTCGCATGTACCAAACTCGGTATTACGTGACGCCAATGGATGACGAAGGTATGTGACTGGTGCAAACAAGATAATCATGAGATGCATGTCATATGAGAACATGACTACATGCCACAGTCAAGGCGCCAATACATTTCGACGTGACGCGGTGCGCGTGCTCGCCGGCGTTCATTTCGTTGCATCACGCCGGCATTGCCACACCAGGCGCCGGTGCTGGTATACACTTGCAGGCGCGCGCCGCACTGCGTTGCTTTGATGCATGTGCGTTTCAGTGCGTCCGGCGTCCTTTTGTCACAAAAAGAGGGAGACGCAGTGTTGTCTGGGTAACGCATCGGCACGAAATGCACCCTGTCGCATGTCGCGCCGGTTGCCGTCGGGCTGCGCCGATGGACGCCGGTCGCGCCTGGCGTCATGCTCGCATTTTGATAACGTAGCGTCGCTGTGCCCAGCGTGCGCACGTGTCATCACTACATTGGAGTATATTGCACCCTTCATGATGCGCTCATGGCCATTTTGCTAGGTCCACATATACCTAATTTGGTGTTACGTGATGTGGTTGGATGACGATATTTATGACTGGTGCAAACATGATAATCATGACACGGAAGTCATGTACGGCATCATTTACCTTTACTTCGCAACATTGTGCTGATTTTAAAGTGAAATATCAATATTTCTCATTCGTGCTTCGGATATCATCGATTACCACCTGGGATCTGCCAAGTTTTATTTAAACCTCCTTGATTCTGACAGTAATGTTTCAAGCAGGCCAAATTCATAGAAGCGTGCAGAAGAATCCGCTGTAGAGAATATGCTAGGTCTACAGAGCTTCAGAACTTGCCAGCTTAAGCCAAAAATTGGTTGCAGTGACTGGGCTAAAGATGCAGATGTTTGCCCATACTTGCATGGAAGTGACAGCTATGATGGCAGCAATGATATTGCTTGTGTGTTTTAATGAGTGGAGGGCAAGGTTAGTGGGATTCCACGTAACTCACTTGGTGGCAGTGCATGGTAGTGCCTCATCATCGGGTGCTTGCCTCCTACCGGAAACCCAGTATGTTACTCTGAACGCTTTGTCACTGTATGCTCACAATTGTGTACACCTTTTCTTTTTAATATTTGTATCAACTACAGGCTAAGAAAAAGCAAGATATATTGAACTCTGAATGAATCAAACCTCCTGCATAATAAATTTGTCTTCAATTTGCAACAGTACATGTGTTGTGTACTGTTGCATGTGATCACTTTGCTGAAGGTACGCCATGCTCGACGTTCCGCTTCCTGTGAGCAGTGTAACAGGTATCTTTTTCTTTGCTCAAAATGGACATTACCAAAAATGAACTTGCACTATGTTTTCAGCCCGAGATTTCATTGTATTTATGCCAGACAGGTATTTCATAGATGTCAGGATAGATAGATATTGATTTACAATTTAATTAAAATTAGTTACAACATAAATTAAAATACTACAGCACTATTTTAGAGAGTGTCTCGCAGCACCTCGATTGGTTCCAGACAGTTATTTGTGGCGTCTGAAGTCAGTATATGACATCATCATGATGTTGTAGAACGCCAAATTTGTGAAGTAGCATGACATCATCACATGACGTCGTTGCTTACTCAAAGAGGGGGCCGGTCACAGCGATTACCTAGCCTTCGTGCTACGTGCCCCGCCCATGCACATTATTCTTGATTCTTGACGTTGTGCTCTCTTGCCCCTCAAAGTTAAACCTACAGGGCAGAAACATGGAGGCTTAAAAAGTGTTAAACAGTTAAATTGAGGATGACTCAACGAGCCTGCATTTCACATCTTTATTACAAACTTAATAAGTCAAGTTGCAAACACTAGTTTATCTGTACACTGTATACATTAGCTATGTACACGAGGCAGCAAGTTGAGCATGACTTGGCGTGCAGCCTCTTTCTTCATTGTTCGATCTGTGGGAAAAGCTCTGCTGCCTGGTTTCCCTGCATGGTGCCGGCGCACCACGTGCACAGCCACGCTTCGAAGGCTTCGACAAGCCGACCCTCCTGGTTGCTGCAGAGGGCACGGAAGTCCTGCATCACGCCTCGCATGAACTGCTCGTCAATGGTGGCGGTGTTCTTCCAACGCTTGGTGATCATGTAGTTGTAGGACCAGAGGAAGCCCACCTGAGTCGGTAAATGGCATTTAATGCATTTTCAATTACTATAATAGTGCCTCATCGTGCTAAATACAGAGAATAGTAGGACGACGACAGCCTATGCGAGGCAAATGATCTTTGACTTGATTAGGTGAGGTGCGATGGTCTGCTACAGTACAAATTTCGGAGAGCTATTACGATTTGACAGTTTGCAAGTGGCACAGTTTTCCTATACAGTACTTCAGCTAAAATATACACAGTCGGGTCATGTGTCTCACTTCACCTCTATTGTCCTCATTACTCTATATCAAATTAAAGAAACATTTATGTTCAATATGATATTATAAATCTGTAAGAGCCTAGGTTGCCTCATCCAATGCGAAAATTGACCATCGATGTCCTATGATGTCAACATGACTGAAGCGAAAATCACATGTGATGAAATCATCCATATGATATCATGATGTCACAGCCAAATTTGTGAATTAACGTGGTGACATCATCACATGACATTGTCGCTTAGTCAAAGGCAGGCTAATCACAGAAGATACTTCTCATAAATATTCTTTGTGGATACTTTTTACAATTATTATTACCCAAGATTGTAAATGAAACGTTTTCAAGCAAGCACTGCTCTGGCCTTTGCAGTCAGTGCATTTTTATATGAAAGTGATATCCTTGCGGTTTCATGTGGCCCGTGTTTGCAGCAATATGCAGCAAGCATGTTGAAAATAATCTTGCAACGAACGAATTGATTAGTGCACCCTACCCCAAATATTTGCTTACTGCTCTTTTGCATGAGCTGTTTGCCTAGCATTCCAGAGACATGATACCGCTTTGTGGTACCAGCTTACCTGCATGGTAAATCTATATCGGATCATTAACGTTCTTTCTTATAGATGTTTGTGTCCATACACACTCACACG